CATAAACTACAACGTAGGTGCTGCCCAGCAATGCCACCTCCCAGGGCTGCCTCAGCTTTTCAGCTTTAACCCTCGCTGAAAGCGTTTTCTGCAGCTCCGTGTTTTCATGGTGGTGCTCTGCTGAGCAGAAAAGGGTTTGGATTTTTCCCCCTGCTTTTTCACTGTTAGCAGAGACTTTGCTGCCAGCTCTGCATTCCCGTGGCTTAAAGACGTGGACACGTTTCCTTTTTTGTAGCCTTGCAGTCGGTGCGCTGCCTTCCGTTTGGGCACCCAAATAACTGCTCAACTGCGTTGTTCTTCATGTGCAGTGTCTGTAACTCCAGCCTGGTCTGAGCACGAAGCAGCTGCTGACAAGAAAACCGGCAGCAGCTCATTTCTTAGCACTGGCTTATCCCAAACCTGGAATAACCCGGAACACAACCTGCCGAAAAGCATGACGTACAAGATTCTTAACACTACAAAAAGGAAGAGAGGAATTTAGCTTCTCCTGTAACTCTTCCCTTTGTCTCCCTCCGTAGGCATCACTTAACTACCACAGCAGCGCGATTTTGGCAGCAGTGCTCGATACCCTGACGGCGCCTTACCGTCTCTGTTCCTCCCGGGGCTCCATGATGCACCTTGCGGAAATGCTGAACTTCTCTGGGCGAAAGGTGAGGGCAGCGATCCGACGCCGCTGCGCCTCTCAGCCCTCCCTGAACGACTGCTGCGGGCAGGAGCTGGCGTTCCACCACACGTCCACACCTACAGGACGCAGCGGGGGGCGGGGGGGGCTGTTTGGGATCGTGATTTCTCACCCCTCTCTGACTCGTAGGTTGTGGCTGCCTGGGCGTCTGTTCCCTTTCCAGCCCTACGTGGCTGCTCGCTCCCCGATACTTTATGCGCCTACCAGGATGTGCCCTGGAAGCTTCTGTCTTCATGCAGGGAGCAGAAGGTCAGCCGCTGCTTTGCTCAGTCGGTTGTGCTGCGAGGAATTGGCAGAGAAAGTCACACCAGGTAATGGGCGTTGGAACTGCGCGCTTCCCTCCAGAACTCTGGCGCTCTCCCTGGCAGCGATTCCTTACGGAAGTCGTTCAGCATCCTTCTATTGAGTGTCAGCTGACGGGGGGGCAAAATCAAGGGATCCAGCCAGTTACGCCGCACGCTTCTATAGCAAAGCAGCTAAAAAGCAACTGAGTCACCAATGTTGTCTGCTGGGGGGAGGGGGCTCTGCAGGGGGACCTGGCCAGGCTGGATCCATGGGCCCAGCCCAGTTGGGTGAGGGTCAACAAGGCCAAGGGCCGGGTCCTGCCCTGGGGTCACCACAACCCCAGGCAGCGCTCCAGGCGTGGGGCAGAGGGGCTGGAAAGCTGCCCGGGGGAAAAGGCCCTGGGGGGGTTGGTCGAGAGGGGGCTGGATAGGAGCCAGCAGGGTGCCCAGGTGGCCAAGAGGGCCCGTGGCCACCCGGCTTGTGT